TTATTATACTAAAATTTAACGATCTATAAAACTGCATACCCAAGATTTTATAAAAACCAAAAACAAAAAAAAATATTTTTGGTGAAATTTTTTTTATAACTTTTCAAATTGTTACTTTTTTATATTTTTTTAATTTGGGAGAACCCTACAATAGCTTTTAACTAGTTTTTATTATGTAACTTTTATTAGCTGGAACAGGCATTGGCATTTTTTCTGCGCTTTGCACTTAAAAAATTTATAAAAACAAATAAAAAGTCAATAATTGGTCTCTTGAAAATTTTATTAGCTTTCATTTAAAAAAAGAATTAATCAAATTGGTTGAGAAATAAAGGCTCCAGTGAATTATGAACATCAAATTCTATTTATTGAACACTGTGCAGCGGTACCAGTTGACTGATTTTTAAGTTATTTCATTTTTGTTACAGAAAATTAAGTAGCCTTTCGAGGAAAATATATGTTATTAAAATCGTTTAAGAAGTACCGTAGTTCTGGTTGATCGAAGTGTAGTTCTGAAATGAATTATTATTACTAGTATCGCCCAGTGGTCGAAATTCAACATCTTTTTTCATACACTTTGGAATTTTGCTTGTCACCAATATTGACCACCAGCAAAATTTATAGCAAGTTTACAGGAAAAGTCAAAATCTAATTATGAAGGTTAATACCGGCTTGATTAATATTAATTCTGAGTACCAAGTCTCCTCCAAATTTCTTCAGAGGCTGTCGAAATTAGACCGAAAAAGGAACCTATTTTTTTTATAAAAAATAAGCATGCGTATTTTTATCTTTAGATGAGATGCCTACCGGTTCCTCACTGAATAATACAATGTTAAACATACACCAATTGGTCTGAGAGCATACTGGAAGGTTAACAACTAAATTGCCAACGTCTAAGTATGTACATAAACTCCTTCTTTTCATCAGAATCGGTAAGAGCTACCTAAAAGCTGTACAACAAAATATAATACTTCCTTCTCTATTGGCGGTTTCCACGGGTTTTTGTCAATATTTTTGCATAACACGATTGAACTAGCAAGGTATACTAAATTTTATGTTACTAATATCTGTCCTAAAGATGAAGCAAATCTGATCATAAATATAATTTTTTAGGATAGCTACCAATCCCTGCGTCACCTTTCAGAAGACAAACGCACTGGTTCTTCTAAAAACCTTTGCACAAAATAACAACCAATCAATGCGATTTAGAAATCTGGAAGAAAATTGTTTCCAATTGAATGGCTCTTGTCATTTTATATGTATATTTAGATGTAGGTGTATCAAATTCCACTACTTTATCCAGTTCCAGAGATAAACGATAGTAGAAATTCGATTTGTATAAGAGATGCCACGCCCCCTTTTCCAAAACCTACCACTTTTCGCCGTAAGTTCAGTATTGATAAAATATGTAAGTAGCTGTGTAAAATTTCAGGACGTTAGCATAAGCGGTTCCAGAGATAAGCCATATCAGAATTCCAGATTGTATGGGAGGTGCCACGCCCCCTTTTCCAGTACCTACCAATTTTCGCCATAAGTAGGGTATTGATAACTTGTGTAGTTGTGTAAGCGATATTAGAATATAGTTTGTATGAGAGGTACCACGCCCCCTTTTCCAATACCTACCGCTCTCGCCATAAGTACGGTATTGATAATATTTGTTGCTGTGTTAAACTTAGGGATGTAAAAGCATAAACAGACGGCAGTGTTGATTCTGATCAACTCGGGAATTAACTGCAGTTGATCCGGATTAAGACCGAGTTAATCGGGATCAACGCTGCCATCTGTTTAAGCTTTTAGCGTAAGCGGTTCCAGAGATAAGCGATATGAGAATTTCAGTTTGTATGGGAGGTGTCACGCCTCCTTTTCCGTTATCTGCCACTTTCCGCCATATATTATTATTATTGTTGGGGATAAAGCACTGCGACCTTAAGATCTATTGTGCCCCCTTCATAGATTATAGAGAGTCTATTAATCCAGTAACCGAGAGAAACTTTAGTATTCAACCTAAATCTACGGATTTCACTTCGCCTTTGGTTAACATATGTTCACACAGGTGCCTTTTGCGTTGTGCATCAGTGCAGGACATTCTTCTAAGATGTGCTGTGCAGTCTCGTTTTCCGTCCTGCAAAATCCGCATCGCTCATGCGAGTAAATTCCCAGTTTAGTCAGGTGATAGTTCAGCCTGCAGTGTCCTGTCAGGATTACTGTAACAATTCTTAAGTTATTCTTTGATAAGCTCATACATTCCTTGAAGCGTTTTAGGTTATATGTTCCTAAAATTGCTTTGGACTGCTCTAGACGACCTGGTAGACTATCCCTGTAGCGTTTTCTATGAGCCTCTTCCTCTAACCGAACAAGTTCGGAGAGTGCCCCTTTTCCCAGGCCACAAAAAGGCTCTGGGCCGCACCCTTCTTCGCTGTTTTATCGGCAATCTCGTTTCCTTTAATACCAATATGTCCCGGAATCCAGAGAACCCAAACCAGATTGGCCAGACCAAGAGTATTCAGCTTTTCGAGGCACTCCATCACCAGTTTAGATTTTACCTGGCGAGATCTGAGGGCAATTATAGCCGCTTGGCTGTCAGTCAAGATTGCGATGTTCTGATTCCAGTAGTTTCGCTTGATATTAAAGACCTCGCATCTTTCTATGGCGTATGTTTCAGCCTGGAAAATAGACATATGTTTTCCCATGGGTTCCGAGTATCTTAACCTTGGTCCAACTACCCTTACCCCGGTACCCTCGTCGGTCAATGAGCAATCAGTGTACCAGGTAATCATGTTTTTGTTTATCCGATACGTCTCGGATAAGCCAGCCCAGCTCTTCTTATTACTCAGATCAGTTTTAAACCTCTTTGTAAAGCTGTAGCTCGGATGCATGGTATCCCTCGGTATTGCAATTTCAGGGAAGTTCTTCGTAAGAATATCTAACTTCCGACGGCTAAGATACCCTTCTGCCCCGATATTGGAACCAGTCATCCATAGTAAAGCTCTCTTCGCCTAAGTCTGTATGTGAATATGAAGAGGGATAAGATCTAGAAGAACCCCTAAGGATGGGGTTGGACAGGTTCTCATGGCTCCGGTTATGTATACGCATGCCAGCCTTTGTAACTTGGAGAGCCCTTTGATTGTTCCAAGTTGTGAAGTTCTATCGGCCCAGATGATGGCTCCATAAGCTATCATGGGTCATACTATAGTCATGTAGATCCATCTCAGTATGTTTGGTGTGCATCCCCAACTCTTTCCTGCCATGGACCTACACGTCATAAATGATCTTACAGCTTTCTTCGTGGTTTCTTCCACGTGTGCTTTCCAGAGTAGTTTTTGGTCTAGTATCACTCCTAGGAATTTAACCTCTTTTTGGTACATAATGTTGGTTCCTCTAGCCTTATCATTTTTAGGCTCTCCAGTGTATATTCCCTTGAGAATGGTACTATAGTGCTTTTTGATGGGTTAACATTCAGCCCCGCTTTAGCACACCATTTTTTGGTTACATTCAGCCCTAGCTGGATTCTATGACACAGGGTGTTTTCGAATTTCCCCCTGCATATAATTACAATGTCATCGGCGTACCCCTGGCAAGTTAACCCAGTTTCTGTCAGCTCTTGGAGCAGTCCGTCGACGACTATGTTCCACAGCAGTGGAGATAGCACTCCACCTTGTGGACAGCCCCTTGTTGTTCCGGCAACAACCTTATTATTCGTACAGGTTTGTATTTCTACCCTTCTGGTGCGGAGCATGCAATTAATCCAGGCTACGAGGGTATTGTTTACCCCCCTGCTGATCAAAGCACTGTTTATTGCAGCATGTGAGGTGTTATCAAACGCCATATAAGTACGGTATGGATAAAATATGTAGCTGTCTCAAATTTCAGGAAGTTAGCGTAAGCTGTTCCATAGATAAACGAAACTCATAAAAGATAGATGGAAAGAAAATGTACGTACATAAGAATTTATTCAATTCGTTTTTTATTCAAATTTTATCTTTACTATGGAATGGGACACCATCTGGCATCAAAGTAGTTCGAAGGAAAAGAAAGTCAAATTTTTTATTCATTAACCCTTCCGATAAGCTTTTATTTATTTAAATCGTTTAACTTTTGGTTATTTTATTAATTTTTCTTTTATTTATATATTTTTTTAGATCATCAGTGCTAAGTGCAAATTTTAAAGTCGATTAAAAAAATTTTACCGTGGAAACGTATACTAACCAGCCCACCTTTAGTTCGTACACTTTGAAATATTTCTGCTTCAAGATTGTATGAAATAAAAGTGTGAAGTGTAGGATCTAAGGGTAGGTAGGGTATTATATATCTTCTTTTAATCTGTTTTTTCTAGAGTCCCACTGAAAGTAGAGTTTTCGGCCGAAGTCGAAGCCGAACCAACCGTTCGGTTTTGATCTAACATTCGTCCGATTAACGACGCCAATGATTTACTCTAAATTAAGTAAATAGATTTTTTTCAAAGAATAAGCTTCATCTTGCCTTTTTAATAACATATAAAATACTAAATACAAAAAATTCACATTTTTTAAAATAATAGCATTTTCTTTTCTTCCGAAAAATGCTGCCTCCTCTTTGTGACCGCTGGTGGGTGGAGCAGGAAGATAATTTTCAGTAACTGCGAAGTAACTCTATCGAGCTGGTATTCCAATATTGAAAAAATATCAGCCCCCACTAAGAACTCTTTTATATGTACACATATAAGCCTTAATCACAATTTCAAATCCTCAGCTGAAAGCTGATTTTAAGAAAAAGTTGCAATACCACATTTTTTTTTTAAACAGATTATTCACAATAAATGTATACCTATAAATTATAACACACACATGTTAAAAAAAAATCTAGATAGAAAAAAGGTTTGCTTCGGCATTCAGCCGAATATGAAAATATTGCCGATTAATCGGCAAAATGAAACCGAAGCCGAAAAATCTGTCGTACTCTAGTATTTTCATTTCGGTTTAATCTTAAGTAACTTATTGACTTTTTTCTTTTCATTTTCATTTCAGAGGTTTGGACAGCTCGTCGTGTAGTCAATGTGTATCACTCCTCAAGAAGTTAGCTTCGCTAGGTCACACTATCGTTTGCACCATTCACCAGCCAAGCGCATTAATATTCGAAATGTTTGATAAGCTATATACTGTGGTCGACGGCAATTGCATTTACCAGGGTCCAGTTCGCGAATTGATACCGTTCTTAGAGGGACAGGACTTAGTGTGCCCAAGTTATCACAATCCCGCCGATTTTTGTAAGTCTTAAAACTTCCCTCTAAAATGTTAATTTGGTCAAAATCGAGTCGGCTTCGGCTGGGTTTGCTGTAACTTATTTCCAAACGTTCCAAACATTTTTCTCCCCCCTTTTTGTTTGTGTACTATTTTCTAAATTAGCAGGTTAAAAATTTGTAAGTAGATTTGATTCAGAAAGGGTTCCTAATAAGAGCTAAAATTTCATGTAGTGTGAATTTGAGATTCCAATATCCAATTCAATTCTTTACAAAAAGGTGCTAAAACAAGATTATAGAAGACTAATAGTTTCGAAGAAAATTTAAATTTTAGATAAACAATATTAAAGGTGTTATACTTTGGTTCAAGGGCTCCCAAACTTTTAAGATAATGGAACCCTTACTAACAACTTTTCATTTTATGGAACCCCACTTTAAATTACTAAAAATCAAAGGCACTGTAATTTAAATATGAATAAAAACTTTTACTGGAATTAGCATACAAACTTAAAATTTTAATGTGAAGAATGAAATTGTTTCACTGTTATTAAATATTGATTTATAGTTCCATATTAGTTGCGATCCCGTACAGTCCAGACTAGTCAGAATTAGACAGATTTGACTGGAAATCGATACCGTACTCGGTTCTCTGACTATTGAGAGGACAAAAAAGAGAGTAAATAAGGTCCTCTCCATGGTTGCCACTGACTAAAAAAATATTTACCATCCACTTGAAAAAAGGTTAACAAATCTGGAAAATATCAACGAATAACTATTTTCAGTTTCATATCATTTATTGCGAGAAAACATTAGTACAATAAGATCTACGATCTTTTATAGTACAACAAGTAACAGGAGGTTTCAGAAAAATAAAATAAACAATTATTATATTATTATTTTAATAAAAGCTATAGTTTTGCTCTATTTTCAATAGAAATTACAATTTTTTATAAAAGAATTTTTATTGAACTATTGATATGGTATTTGAGATTATATTAATGGCATCTTCTCGGTTTCCTTCAACCAAAAGTGAAAGTGATGAAACTAAAGGCAGCATCGAAACTACATCATTTGAAAAAACTTCAACTGGATTTATTACAGACAAATACAGTGACTCAAAAAATCGAGGATTCAAGCTGTATACTATAATATTAGAAAAATTCCAAAAATTTTCGTTTAAATTTTTTAGTTTTTTAATCTGAATTTTTATTTATTTATAAGCTGCTCGAAGTCATTTCGAGTTACACATACGCGTTCCACAAGTAGGTTTTCGAGTTTCTTTGATATACGCTCACAGTTTAAACTTTTCCATAGTTTTTCTACAAGTAGCTTGTGGGACAAACCTATTTATTATATGAATATTCTTGTAAGGATATTTCACGATATTCAGTTGAATATTATGAAAATACATGTTACACAGTCTTGGGGGTTCCCCCTACCTGGGTTCGCCCTAACTGGCTAATGCATGTTGAAAAGTATTTAATTACTGGCTTAAGTGGATTCCTATGAATTTCAAAGTATTTTTGGTTAGTTATATCCGTGAGCTGAGTGTGTTTACATACAAAAGGTGCATTCTTTTGCAACCGAGCTACAAAAGAACACTCGCTTAAATGACGAAATATATGCAAAGCAACAACGCAAACTCGGCTATTTATCCGAGTTCAGAAAGGTCGGTTAAAAAGTACGCGACCGGAAGGGTAGTGTTGGCAAGTGAAAAACCTGCTCTATTGTGAATGGTTACCGGGAAAGTGGAGAGGGAAATTTTTGTTTTCGTACATACATGATTTATATTTTAAATAAGTATATATATTTTGCAAATACCTCGCATAATTACTCATTTCTATTGTTCTTTTGTGTCTAAATCCCGTTAAACTAATCACATGTTTCTTACCAGCCACCAACAGGGTTGCTTATGTAGCTAAAAGGAAATTTTGGCCGAGTTGAGCGTTCTTTATAGCTCGTTTACAAAAAAATGCAGCTAAAATAACCAAAAATTTAAAACCAAAATTTTGAGGTTTTGTTGAAGTTGTCAGAAGTTACCATTTTTTACTAGAAAGCGATCCCACACTTTTCAGTGTTGCTCTCTCGTTATGAGCGAATTTTTATTTTTTGACAGTTTTACTAGTTTTAGTCTGAGGAATACGGGATTGGATCTGTTATGTCTGAAAGCATCCAATTTGGACCTGCATTTGTTTTTTGTATAAGTAAAAGCGCCAATAAAAAAGGCGAGAGGTAAACTGAAACCCCTGTTCCACAACGATACGTTGTGACAGAAGGAAGCATGGTTAGGGTTGTCTAGCTACTTAATGGTAGCTTCATGCGACTCAGACTCAAACGTGTGTTTCAATGTCGAAGTACTCTAAAGAATGCTTTATAAATGGAGTTTGAACCCAATCGATATTACTTCTACCGTCCGAAAAATAATCTGACAAAGATCCCAGGAGATTTATCAGGTGCCCCGTTATGACATTTTGCATTTATTTACCAAGTGCTCCGTTATGACATATTGCATTTCATTTGGAAATTTATCACATTTCTCGTAGAAAGTTGTATAAAAGTGGGAAATATTCAATGCTCTTTTTCCACACAGGTAATCCAGAAATTAAATTTTCTTTCAAAGGATACAAATTTGTCTCTCGCCAAAAAAACGGCTGTTGATCTTCCCTGCGAAAATGTAGAATTTTGGCTGATCTTTCCAAAAGTGTTATAAGCTAGATATTCGAATAATAATAATAATATTTTGGCGCTTACACGCAGAATATTTGGCCGAGCTTCTCCTCCAATTTGTGGTGTGAGTCTTGATGTTGTTAAAGAAATGGAGCGACCTACAGATTTACGCAGCCTTCGAACCGTCAATGGATTTTATGAGAAGCTTTTTCATGGCAGAAATACAGTCGGCGGTTTGCCATTGACACGTAATGCTCTGTCAAAAATGAAAATTCCATTTGCTCGGCGCTAGCGCCGCGCTATTGTGGTATGCTACGGGCATGCTTTAGTATTATGTTTGTGATTGAAAACTATCAAAATCAAATTTCCTACAAAAAGGTAGCTTTCTGAAATTATTTACCATAAGTAGTTTCCGAGATAATTGCGATTTTTGTTAGAAATATGGTTTTTCTGTCCATGGAGGAAATATTTATGGGTAAATTACTAATTATATACGAAATTCAATTCCTCACCAAAAATTCATATTTAATGAAGAATGTATCTATGTATGTATGTATGTATGTAAGTATGTTTTTTTACGAACTTTTTGGTAAAATCAAATTTATAGTTTTATCACTTAAACGATAATAACTTGGTAATGACTGCATACTTTTCAATATACCAGGTTTCTATAGAAGGGCTAAAAAGAAGACAAAATATCCTTAGAATTTGCTTCTCTGCGCCACTGTGATCACTTTTTTCTGCTAAATTAAGCAATTTAAATATTTTTATACACGAGCGCACTTGTGAACAAGGGTATTATAACTTTGTTTACATAACGGCTCAGAATGAAAAAAGAAATCGATTTAGCCGTGACTGTATGTCTGCCCACCCGTCCGTCTATCCGACTGTGCACACGATAACTCGAGTAAAAATTTAGATATCTTAACGAAAGTTGGTACGTATACTTCTTTTGAGTGTAGGACGGATGGTATTGAAAATGGGAAAAATCGGAATATAACCACGCCTATCTCCCATATAACGGTAGTTTTCAGAAATACGAAAACTGCGATATTTTAGTAACTACTGAAGCTTTGACTCAAAATTGATATTTTTGGTATACAGGCGCAGCCACGCCCACTTATGATTAGATGTGTATACATCTCGGTAACCGCTTCTCCAGTTTCTGGTAAATTTGGCAATTAAAATATATATATTATATATATTAAATGAAAACAAGAAAAAATTTTGAATAAATACTGAATCACATGTCTTTCGGACTTATGACAGTGCCAAAAACCGATCGATAGTAGCGAAAAATAATAAAAAATATCGATACTATCGATAGTGTCTTTGATTTATACCTCTTCTTTAGAGGAACTTAATAATAATAATAGATTGGCGCTTACACATGTGTTAGTGTTTGGCCGAGCTCCTCCTCCTTTAGAGGAAATTGTTGTCCATATAAATGGGTGATGACCATAATTTTTAAGACGTAGTTTTAAATAAGCAATGAGCATTGAGTACAGAATTTACCAAAGAAGACCTTTAAATTGGTTTTGAAGAAATTTTTATTTCGCTCTCAAGCAGACATATTCCTTTCTACTTTCTTTAAGTTCTTATTGCATTATCTTCTGAAGATACAAAAATGTTATTTGCAATGATTAAAAAAAGATTTTAAGGACAAGCTTTTTACGGTAGAAAGATTTTTTACTTGGTTAGAAACTTTAAGAGTAATCGAATATTTTTGTATTATTCCGTAATTCCGTATTCCGTATTCAAATCATTTGGTTATGGTGATATAATATGAATGTGAAGAAAAAATGGAAGAGCAAGGCTATTGGGTTAAATCTTACCCAACCGCACCGTTTGTGTAACGTGTCCAGTGCTTTATGTAACGTTACCAGTGCCAAATTTTGTCTGAAAAAATTGTCAAAATCCAAAAGTTTTGAGCAATTGAGTATGCAGTTGTCCTCCCGCTTTCATTGCAGATGAATTACCAAAAAAAAAGTAGCAGTATGCGTTCAAGCAGTTCGCAGAAATTTCAAACTTTTTGACATGGTTCATCATTGAACTTCCAAATAGTACACCGTGGACAGTGCACATTCAAATGTCTATTAGTGATTTGCTGAATTGTCGGACCCAATACTTCAAACAAGTACTTCCTTTTCAGTTCCCGATACCGATTCTTTACATTAAACCTTCGTCATTATACTTATATATTTCAAGTTTAGAAAAAGATGTTTCCTTGCTATTTAATGTGATACCCCCTAAAAATTTGAACTTATCGTAACAGTAAAATACTATTTTACCAGTTTTTACTTTAATAGATCCAAGGATAAAGAAAAATTGTTTGACGGATGAAGAAGCTTTTCTGGCCTTCAAAGATCACATCGTCCGATTCATCTAGAACAAAAATTCTTCAAACAAAAAAGGTGTCTCTGCATTACGGCGACCGACCGACATACTGCCATCCCTAAACTGGCGCGTCCAGCGTCAAGAAACTGTCAAAAATCCTCATGGCCATACAGTTTGTATGTAGCATCCCACAATGACGCGGCGTTAGCGCCAAGCGAATGGAATTTTCATTTTTGACAGGTTGTTACGTGTTGAAGTTGGATGCAGAAGACGGAAAGAAAGGGAGAGGACAAAAAGCAAAAGAGAAAACGAGAATAAAAATTATAGGAAATGAGAACTCAGCACCTCAATAATGTCTATAACTTTGATACCAAAGCACTTTTTAAACACTTTTATACTAACTAAAAAATCGAGGTTTTCCTGTTTTTATTGGACAATTGATTGATATTGTAAAAAAATGCGTACGAATGCAATGCTGCCAGTCAAATAATCGACCTTATATATATTTTTTGTTTCTCCCCTTCTTAGTGCTGGAAGTAGCTGTGGGCGAACACGATCGTGATTTGGTTAAATTAATAAATGCTGCAAATAAAAAGTACCATGAAGATGCAGATAGCCAGCAAATAAATGTACAGCGGCTGCTTTCCACAATCAAAGGTAATAAACATTTCCATAATTTTAATGAAGTATAATTTTTTTAATTTTGCATTATTTATTTACTAGAGTTCTTGATATTCGATTAATCGAATATTCAAATAAGGCAAGAATGGTAAAATTCGAATAGTCGTTTCGAATTATGACGCTCATTCGATGAAGAATAGCCCTATTGTGAATTTCGCTCGTTTAGGTTGTTCACAATAGTATATTTTTCACCGCTGAGAAGCTTTGTTTACAAATCGAGCAAACTAAAAAGTGTGCTTATACATATTTATGTAAATTTGTACAAATTAAAACGAAATAAAAAAGAAAGCGAGTTTATAAAAAACATGGTAAAAATTTAGTACAACGGATGAAAGGCCTTAGTAAACTGGCCAGGAGTAGTGAATGTTTAAGGGAGTTTAAACGTAGTCTTTCGAATATATTTTGACACAAAATATTTTAAAGAAATTTGTCTACAGATTTATTAAATAGTTCCGACTGTCTAAAGAGGCGTTTGTGAGCCAAATCTATTTATAATATTTTAAAACTATTAACAGCTCTACGATTTCGTTCTCAGAGAGCGTGCCAACTGAGTATTGAGATTTTCTTTCGCAAGTAAAACCAGCCTTTCGAGCTTGTGTTTAGTATTCACGACGTTAGAACCAGCGTTGCCATTTTAGCCGTTTTCCGGCTAGATTTAGCCGGTTGCGACAGCAAACAGCCGGAAAAAATTCGATTTAGCCGGCAGCTGATTTTTTAGTCGTTTTGCAAAAAAAAAGCCGATTTTGCTCTTCGCCTTATTTTATTAAAATTCAAATATACAAGTTTTTAATTTTACAAATTTAGTGCTCCAAAATCTATTAGAAATGGCTAGTCTTATCTCTGAGAAAATTTTCATGTCGGACTGTGTTATATAAAATTGAAAAACAATCAGATAGTGAGCCGATTTCAATGTTTTTTGTTTTAAGCGAGTGACCCATAACCACATGACACATAAACTGGGACGCGTAATTTTAGCAGATTAAAAAGTTACAAGTTTTGATGAAATTTTGCAGAATTTTCATAATTTTTACACCAAGTGTGAAATCTGTTTGTAGTATATATTGTTTGTTAAGTAATGAGCTACATATTCACAAAAAATAATAAATATTAAATAAACTAAAGAAAAATAGGCAAAACTTGCTTCAATTTTGCGTCCCAGTTTATATTTGGAAGAACGCAGCGGGAATTTTCTTCATAAAATTTTTGTTTTGAATGTCTTAAATTTAAGTGTGAAGTTTTATTCGCTACACTTAGAAAATAAAAGAGCACGAATTTCGATGTTTAGCAGCACCACAACTTTATCAGAAAATTCCGAGAGTCCAAAAATTGGTACTGTTACAAGTTGCAGGTATCATTTTAACTCGACCTCTTTCCTGTCTCACGGATAATGGTACATCTTTCAGAGGTTTAAAGATATTTTGCGTCAGCAATTTGTTATCAACCTACGTACCCTACCTCGGAAAAGCAAAAAACTTTATATTCGAACGTTTGCTCTGGTGTACCGAATTCTGGCAGTTTGGGAACGCGCAACACTTTTAATATTTTCATCCAGCTTCAAATTTTTTTTCTAATTTTTTAAGAAACAAAATTTTTTCTGCTAGTGAATCTGGTGGCATGATTTTAGTTAAATGTCATAAACTTGTTAAAAGTGAAGTGGTCGGCAACAACAACGAATGTCAATAAATTAACTACCTTCTGCTTTCACAGCTTTACGTGTTTATTTCTCAAAATATTGCCCTCCGACTAATCAAAAGTGCCATACTCTCAGCTAATATAGCAATTTTGCGGGACGAAAAGCAACCTACTGAAAATTATCCAATATTTATAAGAAGGCAAAATTGTTTAATAGAAAATAAAACGCCATAAGTTTGTAATTTATCTCTGTTTTTATATTTAAGTAATACAAACATGACTTCTGATGTAAAGCTTAGCTACGTATAACGACAGTTTCCTTTGTTAAAGAAAAATAAAGTGGTGTACAGCTTAGCTACGTATAAATAATCTTTATTAACCAAAAAAATTCAATGGATTTACTAGTCTTTCTAATTGTAGTTTATGTATTTAAAAAAAATTTAATTCTGGTTGAAACATTTTAGCCGTTTTTTTGTCCAATCTAGCCGGTCACCCTGAAAAATTCTGGCAACACTGGTTAGAACTGCATGAAATTAATTAAAAGTGTTTAGAATTAGTGTCTAGTAAGGCATCCAATCCCGGACCATTTTGTAAATCCCGGGATTTCGGGATCTTAAATTGGTAATTAATTACCATTAATTAAAATATGCTAACAAACTAGTTTTGCCGTATTTCTTTAGTGCGAATACTAGAAATAAGACTGAATTTGTGTTTTTAAGAAAATAAATGTAAATATGTATCTTTATTTTATATCAGTTTAAAAAGCTAATTACAAACTGAATAAACTAAAAACTAAAAAATTGTAATTCATTCATATTGCAGTCGAAGTCATTTTAACAGTTGAACTTTTTTAAGTTGATTTACATAGTAAAGACCAGTAAATTTGGGATTTAAAATTACACCATCCTAATCCTTGTTTAATTCTCTATAAAAAACATTTTCCAAAAATTGGGAGTTTTTTAAGAACTATTTTTAAAATATTTTTTTTTTTTTTTATGACGAGGTGGTTTATTTTGTGAGAGTCAACAATGAAGTCTCTACGATAAACAGAGCCCGAGATATAACAATTTGAAGAAGTACATGATTATTTAGTCAGAATCACGAAAAAATCCAAAATTTTGCAGGTCATATGTATGTATATCCGAAGAAAAAAGGAAAAATATGAAGTCAATCGAAATTGTGACACCAAATTTGGTGTACGGTATGAAAAAGAATGCCTCATATGTATGTTATATATATTATAACACAGAATAATAGTATTAGAATTGTAATATATTAGTTGCGTTCGCGTAGCTGTTAATTGTTCATGTTTAACCAAAACTTACAAGTTTTTGCGTTCGCGTACGCAAAAAACTTGCAAAGTAGGGGAAAATGAGAGAGCAAAGTGACATTTCATTTTGAGGGGAAGCTGCTGGTTTCTGCTGGAAAAATTTTTGCCAACAGCAATTTGCCAACAGGAAAACAGCTGATCAAAAACAGCTGGTTGGCATTTACGCAAATCACAAAATTGAATTTGATGGTTTGGAAGTTCAAAATTACAAAATGCGACTAATTAAACTTGTAAGAAACAAGTAGTTATTTGTTTAATCAATAAACTGTATCAGTATAACACTTTGTGATGACTTTTCGTACGTTTTAAATTTTACACTTTTGAATGTACACAAGAATTATATCAGCTGTTCGTCTAACTTGCAAGTTTCTGGAAAATTTCTGTTGGCGTACTATTTTGGATATTTTTCTCTTGTGAGAGAATAGATGACATTTCGCCGGAATTTGGCAGTTGGATGTTTTTTACTGGAGATTTTAAACGAACGCACCTATTATTTGACTATTTGTAGGGTTGCATTTTATAATTCTTTTATGCCATTTCAGTGTCTGAATGTCGTTTTATTTTAATTTGGTAGTAAACTAAATTATATCTCGGGATCCCGAGGGCTTGATCCCGGGATTTCGGGATTTCAAAAAGGGCTCGGGACTCCCGGGATTCGGGCTGCATAGCTCATAATACGAATTTCACTTTCGGTCGAAAATCGAATGCAACTCATAATAAGGGTCAATACCACAAATGGAGCACGTAACTTGGTTACAGTCAGAACTTTTTTTAAAAAGCCTCAAACCAAGCTGACTTCTCTTCCTCTCATTTTCAGAACTTCGCAACTATTTCATAACGAATCAATATTTGAATAATCTTAGTCCATCGATTATTCGGATAATCGTAGTGCTGCAACTATTCGAATAGTAAAATTCGATTGAAAATCGAACATGCGATTGTCAATCGATCGTTAGAATGTTCGGTTATTCGAATATGCAATTGTAAAAGCCCTACTATTTAACTATGTACACAAGCATTTACATACATATGTATGTATGTATGTACAAACAAATATTTTACATATTTATGTTTTTACTTGTATGTAACTCAAGAGTACATGAATTGACATATCATTGCAATTACATTTGCAGATAATGAAGCGTGTAGTAAAATCTTCAGCAATTTGAAACGTTTTCCCACCGCCATGTCGAAGCTTGCAGCCTTCGACTATGTAAAAACCGCTGCGGATGATGTGGCTTTGGAGGAAGTAAAGACGCTCAATGCCAGTGCCGCTGCCACAAGTACGAAGATGGACGATAGTGACGATGAAGTTGGCTCAACGGCGCATGCGCGAAATGTTCGCCGGCGTTATACAGCCTACAAGGCTTTGCACACACAACAGGCCTCGTTCATAATGCAATATTTTCTGTTGTTGAACCGAATTTTTGTATGTGCGCGACGGAATTATGTAAGTATAATTACCAAAGTACACTTTGCTATGAATTGCTTTTGTTTACGCGTTAAGCTCTACAATAAATTGAGTTAGTGATTTATAGTAGTAATTAAAATTGAAATTGCGACGAGGTGTTTTGTAAACAAGATAATCTTTTGAAGAATGAAATGAAATAAAAAGTAGCATTCAAAGTTCCTTTCGTAAACAAGACAATCTATGAAAAGAAAAAACTGGTCTACGAGAACGTGATAAGAAGGCTTAGGATTTTAAGGCACTAAAAACTTCAAAAAGGCAAAATGAGCTTTCAAAAAAGGTAGAAGTAATTTATTTTTAAATTTTGTTATATACATACGTACCTTTAGTCAGGGCCGGATCGTGAGTTCTATTTTATTATATTATATATTGTTTATAAATGAATTATATTTTTATATCCGAGCGCCCTTGTGCACAAGGGTATTATAACTTTGTTCACATAACGGTTGTTTGTAACATGCAAAACGAATCGATATAGATATAGACAAATGTATACATAAATGATCAGGATGAAAAGAGAAATCGTCCGTCCGTCTGTGCACGCGATAACTCGAGTAAAAATTAAGATATCTTAACGAAACTCGGTACGTGTACTTCTTTCGGGCATAGGACGGATGGTATTGAAAATGGGCAAAATCGGACAATAACCACGCCTACCTCCCATATAACGGTAATTTTCAAAAATACGAAGACTGCGATATTTTAGTAACTAATAATAATAATAGATTGGCGCTTACACATATGTTAGTGTTTGGCCGAGCTTCTCCCCCGATTTGTGGCGTGCGCCTTGATGTTGTCACACAAAGCGGAGGGACCTACAGTTTTACGCCGACTCCGAACGGCGATTGTATTTTTATGAGAAGCTGTTTTTCATGGCAGAAATACACTCGGAGGTTTGCCATTGTTTGCCGAGGGACGACCGCTGTTAAGAAAAAACCTTTTTTCTATATTTTTGCGATGTTGCTTTGACCAGGGTTTGAACCCAGGCATTGTGGAGTGGAAGCGCGCACTGCTTACCACTACACCACAGCGGCCGACAGTAGTAACTACTGAAGATTATTCACTCAAAATTGATATTTACAATAATTTTTAGACGAAAAATAAGAATATTATAAATTTTTGAAAAATGGGCGTAGCCACGCCCACTTATGGTTATATGTGTATATCTTGGCAACCGCTGCACCGATTTCTTCAAAACTTGGCACAGCTTCGATAAATCAGTAAATATTAAAGCTAATTTATTCAAAATTGACGCTTGCAACAATTCTTTACCAGGAAATACGTTTATGATAAAATTTTGGAAAATGGGCCTGGCACCGCCCACTTAGGATCACATGTATGTATCTCGGTAACCGTTCTACCAATTTGTACCTACCTCGGTATTTTTATTGTGCTTGCCACGCAAAAGCAAAACATTCCAAATTATTGAAACCGGACTAAAATTACGGCTTTTCATATAACGGTAAATTTTAGAAATCCTTGAAACTTCAATATTTCGACATTTAAGGACGCTAATTTACTCAAAATTGATACACCATATACCATGTAGCGGTAGCTTTCGGAAAGGCGAAAAACATATATATAATATTTGCGCCGGGTATTTAATGTTCGGCTCCGCCCGAACTTAGACTTTCTTACTTGTTATATATCATATGTTCTGAGTCATATGTTTTTGAGAAAAATACACCGTAGTAATTTTAAAATTTCAAAATTACATTTCTCGACTTAAAAATAAGATATTCGGGCTAACTCGACGGCACACAGTGTGCTTTTTTAACACTTCATGCCAATTAATCATAGCGCTTTCGACAGAAGCAATATTTTGATATGAAATAAAATGGCTTTGAAAACTAATGTAATTGCCTTTCAAGGAAAAATTTTGTCATTGAGCCACAATCACTCCTTGACGTTAAAAAAAATTGGTAAAAAAAAAATTGGTTCAACCCCCCAATTTTAAAAATGCATTTTGAATTTTTTATGATTTGCATGCAGCTGTGCATCCTTTACACAATTTTATATCCCTCGAATTATAGCCGCACCACTTTTTGCCAAGTTTTAACATATTATTTTTGTTGTTATTTAATTTTGATTATTTTTTTATAAAAACCAACTTTTTGCAAAAATCAAGAGATAAGTATTAAAAAGTCAAATCATAAAAAAAAGGCAGAAAAAGGCAATATAGTAAAAAAGGCAAATTAAAATTTGAATTTTTAATCAAGGAAGACATGAAACGTGTGATTATTTAATTTGTTTACAGAAACGACTAGGCAGACAAAATAGTCAAATGCCTTAAAATCCTAGCCCTGGTGATAACCAATTAGGATAGTTAATTTTTAGTTTCAAGTGTTAGAAAAGCTTTAGTTCGAAAAAATTTTTTTGACGGACAGCGTGTGTGAATCGGTAACAAAGTTCGCGTCGAGTAAATTTTTGACAACTACGAGGTGAATAAATTTTCTGTAGCTCATGAGGCTAGTGAAATTTTTGACAAATGCATAGAAAATTTTGACAATCGCAAAGATTGTTGATGTGTGTAATTTTGTGTTAAATGAAAGCTTAAATAGATGAATTGCAATCAACGATGGTAGATGTTTTCTTAAAGTATTCATTTCACTTCAATTTGTAATATTTTATTCCAAATAAGTCTGCGGTTATCAAAAATTTACTGCTGTCAAAAAATATTTTATTTCACACAGCAGATTGGCAAAACTGTCTCACCATAGTAAAAATATTATTCAACAGCTTTCCCCATAGGACTTTGTTACCGATTCACACACGCCCGGAGTTGGCACCTTTCTGTAAATAGCAAAAACTGGAATCAAATAAAACGATATTACAAAATATCTCAATATGGGTATCAATCGCTTTGCTCTTCAGGTGATCTTGGATAGTATTGCCAAACATTTAAAAAAAATAAGATAAGGCACAAGTAAAACAATTGGCACATCAAATATTTTTTTAAGAGCTTGGCCTAGCTTTTTCTCTATTTTGTGGTGTGCGAGATTTCCTCAGTTTGAACCGCCTCCGAACTGATTTTTATGAGAAGCTCTCTCGTGACACAAACCACGCGTGAACTGGGCGAAAAATGTTTAATTTATGCCATACACTATGAGTAGTAAAAAATTGTCAGATGGTAAACCAACATGGTATTACCATATTTAAAAAAAGAAAAAATAAAAACGTGGTGCAAATTTGTCTATTAAATATTGGTACAAACGAACATTCAACCCTTATAAAAAGGGGTTCGATTGAAAACCATTTCACGTCCCTGGCACAAACCCACTCGCTATACGAAAGGAATCGAACCTCGGTCTTTCTAAGCGCTAGTGAATATCTCTAACCACTTGGTAATGATTGCCGTTGAATAAAAAAGTCGTAGCAGAAAAGGGGAACACCGAACGAATGCTCTTTGGAAAGTTTTAATTTGCACTTATTTTTGTTTTTGGGAAAACGTTATCGAAGGAACCATTCTTAAAATAAAGTATACAACTGATATTTGGAGCCTACGACGTCCCATGATAATAAATTATTGGCTTTTCGACTTCAAAAGCCTTCCGTTTCCAATTCGACCAGGTTCCGTGATAATAAGCAAGAAAGGGTAGGATCATTTATCGGAAAATTCCGGAATTATTTTATACATAGTATCAGCGATGGGGAAAAAGTAGCATTTAATTTGTGGTTGGGGAATGTCCAAAAAAAGCAATGAGTATCATTTAACATCTCGTCTCTGCATAATAACAGTTAACTATTTTTGGATTCAGATACCCGACCAGCGAACAATACTACGGGTTTAAGGATAAAGGTGATGAAAACGATAAATTTAAGATAAAAATAAGGATAAAGAAAATGAAGAAGAGTAAAGATAAACATAAAGTAAAGGATAGAGAGAAAGATATTTAAAAAATGGGATAGAGATAAATATCGCATACGTTTTATGAGAAGCTTTTTCATGGCAGAAATACACTCGCAGGTTTGCCATTGGCTGCCGAGGGGCCACCGCTGTGGTAGAAGATACTTTTTCTAATTTAGATGTTGCTCGGATCACGGATCGAACCCAGGCCCTATGGAGTGGTAGTACGCACGTCTAACCACTCAGCACAGCGCCCGACTGAAAGAAAAAAAATGCATGACCTTCCAAGGTTAACGAATTGATAGTAAACTTTAAGTTTGGTTAAGAAATGTTAATAAGAGCCAACAAAAGTGAAAAAGATATAATTATGTTTTTTAATCTCGGGGCCTGGACATCTGAAAAGGTCGTTACCCAATTATCGTTACATTGTCTGTGGTACTCGCCGTAGCCAACGCGCAAACGCCCGTAAATCTTCCGCAGAATCTTTCTCTCGAACACTCCAAATCCGGGTAAATACAAAAAATGTTATATTTTCATTGCCCCCTCCTAATGACTGTGAAATTGGCCCAAACTTCATTAATTTAATTATCTACCACAGTTGGTTAGAGATCACAAAACTTTATGTTTCCCGTTTTCGCATTAATTTGCGGGGCCATGTTTAATGAAAGTGCAACAAAAATTTCCGACCTGTATTTGCTTACTCATATATACCCATACATTGTATTCATATGGACACATACATATATGCATGTAAATATTTAGGTACATGAAAGCTCATATTTTGCAATAACAGTAAAAATATTATCCGTACCGCAATTTTATTAAATTTTGGCGAATACGGGTTTTATTGCCTTAAAATTTGCAAACGCCGTTACAGAATGGATAAGTTCAACAATCATAACACTTGTATTTCTACGAGTAAATACCCTGCAGCAATTCAGAGTCACCCTAGGTTAGCCCTCAGATAGTCGCTATTGTTACCAGCACTAGTCCCTCATAATTCCCCTGCCAGTGGTTTCAACTGCCATTTTTAGCATTGGCGTCTCATTGGAAAAGGACTAGTCCAATTTTCCACTTCACAGATGCTTTTTCATATTTCGGAATAGGGTTGCCAGATTTTTTATTCGCGAAATCA